GTGGGGGCTGCGTTATTCCAATCTGTACGAACGTGTAAAATACCACATCCGTTTCCAGCCTGCGAGGCCGCATATTCTTCGTTCGATACGAAACAACCAGCCGCTTAACGAGGGATCCGTTGCTCCAAAGTTCCAATTTCTTTCCTCGTTATACGCCCGAGAGAAACGTATATCACTCGAACCTTTTACCTCTAGATGGCGCAGAGATCGCAATGGCGTACCTTTCGTTCAAATCCCGCGGAATATAACCTTTTCGCGATATTTTCTTACTGTTACGCTTCGAAAGCGCGAAATTTCACGAGCGAGCACGCGATTAACGCCGGAATCACAGTTCCAATGACTATATTGAGATTATGGGTTTACAATTGCAAAATAACTACCATATATATATATATATGTAGGATCGCTCTTGGGTGGATAGATTTAACCCTTTGCACTCGAGAGGCGCCTCAGTCGCCATTTAATCAGATTCTAAAGATGGACGTTAATTAATGTATTAAATTTACAATTACCCAGCGATGCGTGGAATATCGAAGTAAAATAATTCTACCTCCTAATTTGCATGCGATTTCTTATCTGCCGTTTTTAAATTATCGTCGACTTTATGGCAGAAGGTCTTCGAATTAATATTTTCCTGTAACGAAAAAATCACCGAGTGCAAAGGGTTAAGATAGTATTGTTGGCTTCTTAATAGAATAAAATAAGCTTATAAATCGAATGACGGCGGCTGGCTATGAAACAAAAGAGATTCGCCAAGGGCACACTTTTCTGATCTTTCTTAAAACTGACTCTTACAACTGACTTTCAGAAACTGACACTCTAAACTTAAACTGATAGACTGTCTTTGCACACTTTTGCACCCTTACTTTTCACCATTCATTCTGTCCTCTTTCATACTCGGCTTTTCTTTCTCAATCGTGCTCTTTTCCATGCAAACTCGGTGGTGAAGCCAGGTACTTCAACCACCCTGGACGCATCCCTAAATTTTCATTAAACATTTTTTTCAGTCAATCCTCTTGCACGTGGTCACTTTCGTTCTAAGCCCAAACACTCTTGACATTCTTTCCCAGCCGTACACATTCCATTCCTACATATATAATTTTCTTTTAAATTATTTCACTAGTCAAGGTCGGTATATAGGTATATAAGAAGGTATAAGCTATCTTTGAGTATTTCTCTAGAGCGACTGACCCATTCGGGAATTCATATAAACATTTAGATCTTATAAACCATTTATTCGCACTTTATATCCTAAATTGATTTTTGCGCATAAATAAACTTATCGTTTTAACAGACTAGTTTCGAACCTTTTGGTTCTTGTGATTACCAAAATGCAGCTGCGTTTGACGAAATTGATATTGTTTCTTGTTGTACATCGCGTTGTTTCAATCATTATTTTGGGCTACCATTAGGTACACGTTATGGTATATATTTCGTTCCTGTAGTTTTCGGCAGTATTAAAAATTGTCATCCTCGGCACTTCGGCGGATATCATTTTCGGGAATCGTTTTCACCGGATTCTAGAATTCGAGTGTCATCGATATCGCGTGTTGCGAGTTGGCAGTTTCCCTTCGCCGAGTTCCATAACCTCCAAGTTATCGATTTCGAGTTCCGAAACTCCTCGATCACCGATATCGCGCTCCACGAGCTTGAAACCGTCGATATCGAAGGCCTCGAGATTCCGGATGTCGTTCGTATGGGATCCCTTCGACCTCTAGTCGTCAGTATCGAACCTTACGATAGGAGTATCGAGTTTCGTGACACGAAATCCTCGGCATCCACTCCCACGACACCGGGTTTATCGTGTCCCTCCAAACGAATGTTTACCGTTCCCTACTTTTTATCAGCTTTCAGCTTCTTTTCTCCGCTCACAGAATTTTCTAAAATCTTTATCACCGCGATCAAACGCGTAGTAGTATCCATTCGCTTTACGATATAGACTTCCATAGATTTTTCCAAAGTATCGGAACCTGACTCGAAGAAAATTTAAAGCTTCGACCCCCTTTCAAGTTCTTCCAGTCACTCGGATTCGCAGGATTTTCCAAAATCTTTATCACCGTTATCGAGCAGTGTCTTGTGTACTTTACGTGTACCGTAAAATCGCAGAATATCGGAACCTGATATCGAGAAAATTAACAGCTTCAATCCTCTTTGAAATTCTTGAAATTCACGGGATTTTCCAAAATCCTTATCACCGTGATCGAAATATCTTCCAAAATATCGGAACTCGTCTTTGAGAACGTTTTAAACCTTCGACCCCCTTCGCAGTTTTTCCACTGACTCGGATTCGCAGGATTTTCCAAAATCCTTATTACCGTGATCGAGCAGTGTCCTGTATTTTACATACATCATAAAATTGCCTAATATCGGAACATGATATTTAGAAAATCAACAGCTTCAACCCCCTATGAAGTTTTTCACTGACTCGGATTCACGGGATTTTCCAAAATCCTTATCACCGTGATCGAAATATCTTCCAAAATATCGGAACTCGTCTTTGAGAACGTTTTAAACCTTCGACCCCCTTCGCAGTTTTTCCACTGACTCGGATTCGCAGGATTTTCCAAAATCCTTATTACCGTGATCGAGCAGTGTCCTGTATTTTACATACATCATAAAATTGCCTAATATCGGAACGTGATATTTAGAAAATCAACAGCTTCAATCCTCTTTGAAATTCTTGAAATTCACGGGATTTTCCAAAATCCTTATCACCGTGATCGAAATATCTACCAAAATATCGGAACCCGTCTTTGAGAACGTTTTAATGCTTCGACCCCCTTCGCAGTTCTTCCATTGACTCGGATTCGCAGGATTTTCTAAAATCCTTATCACCGTGATCGAGCAGTGTCCTGTATTTTACATACATCATAAAATTGCCTAATATCGGAACGTGATATTTAGAAAATCAACAGCTTCAACCCCCTATGAAGTTTTTCACTGACTCGGATTCACAGGATTTTCCAAAATCCTTATCACCGTGATCGAAATATCTTCCAAAATATCGGAACCCGTCTTTGAGAACGTTTTAAAGCTTCGACCCCCTTCGCAGTTCTTCCACTGACTCGGATTCGCAGGATTTTTCAAAATCCTTATCACCGTGATCGAGCAGTGTCTGTGTACTTTACGTGTACCATAAAATTGCAAAATATGGGAACCCGACATCGAGAAAATTAATAGCTTCAACACCCTTTGAAATTCTCACACCGATTCAGATTCAGGGAACGCTTCGAAACCTTTATCACAGCGATGAAGGAGTATTTGTGTACTTTACGTGTAGCATAAAATCGCGAAATATCGGGAGCCGATTTTAAGAAAATTTAAAGCCCCCCGGCTACGAGTGCGGTTTGCAGCGTGAAACGTTCGACGCTTTTTCCCAACGAAAGTGCAACACGCGCGACGCATAAATACACGTTACATCAAAGTTGGAATTGGACACTTGGTCGGTGAGTTCGTTAGCCACGATTGCTTTTTCCCAGCGATAAAGGGGTGTCCGCGGAGGCCGCGTGACCGAGAGGGCTCTAAAAAGCGCGTTCGTTCCAGCCGGGTGGCAATTTCAACCGATATCGTAAAAAAAAGGGCCACGTGCCGGTACCTTCGATTCACGAGCAACGGTTCACCCCGACGTCGCGTTTCGCGGCCATTTTTATAACCGCGAACACCTGTTTTTGCCGCAACTTCGCCTCGTTCCGCGTTCCTCGTCGTCGTTTCCTCTCGTTTTTCTCTTCTCCCACCGTTTCCAGCGTTTCCACCGTTTCCGTTATAAACGATTCATTTAACTTGCTCCGCGCGCGATACAGCCATAACGATTCGCGCCACGACCATAAACTATTCGGCCGATATCGAAGTCAGGGCGGCGCAGTCGGATGGGCCGGTCAACTTCCACCGGGTTATCCGTCCGGTTATTTGCTTCGTCAACAGCCGGTGACCGATGTTGATTATCCCTTGGAACGCGTCTGACCGTTTTACGACGCGACACACGACCGTGCGGCACGATGAAAATTGCTATTTACAAGACAATAATGGGTCGCCTCGCGGGCAAACCCTGCGGAACTTGCACGGTAATATTCGATATTACGCTAATAGCATATTAATAAACGGCAGGCAGAGTCTTTCGCCTTTAACGAGCCCGGTATTCCGGCAGCATTAAACATTTGATGGTTGCCGCTTTGCGCCATAAATTTTCCGCTCTTACAGACTTTTAACGAGCCCCACAGCGCGTTCAACGCTTCGATGCTGTTGGCGAGTAAATTTTCCGGTGTTTCGTATCATTTTTTTCTTCCTCCACTTTTTCTCCCTTTTTCCTTTTCCTCTCTTTGTCCTTCCCCCCTCCCCTCTCCCTTTTCTTTTCTTTACGACCACCCTTTCCTCCCGCCCGCAACCCTGAAACCACCTTTATCTTTCGCGAGGGAAAAAGAGAAGACCGAGACGCAGCGTAGCTCGACCGGCCTCGCGTCACGTAAATAACGTCTGAGATCGTAAAAAGGAGGACACGGGAAGATTAACCGGGAATCTCTTACCCTTCGTGGGCACGATGTTTCGGCGAATATGGAACAGCGTGGAAAAGAATGCGATCCGGAGAAAATTGAGCCGGGAATGAAAATTTAGACGGGCTACTTTACCTTTTAGCCTTTTAGGTGGCACTCTTTAAGCCGCTTGCAGGAGGAAAGTAAGCGATATAAACCTCTTACGATCGTGCGTATCCGATTAAACTGAGCGGCCTATTTTACCGTGTTTATTTTATTCGCGGATGTACTGGCCCGAAAATTCTGTATCACGCCATTCCAGCAGACTTTGCCTGGCGCGTGTAAATTTTCGGAAGCGTTTTATAACGCAGCGGGCTGCACTTCGAGTTCGCTTTAAAAATGGACTTTCTCGGGCAAAGATAAAGCAAAGATAAAGCAAAGATAAAGCAAAGAGAGGCAAAGCGAAAGGCGAAGAAAAGAAAGATAGCGTAATGACGGGGGAAGATAATAGCGAGGCAACGTGTTCGTTCGCAGAACGACGAGGAGGAGGCACCGCCGTCGCAAGATACCCCTGGTCAGGCGAGATTTCGACGACTCCTCCGACGAAGTGGTGTCGCTGCACGATCGACAGCTACGCTCGATCGAGTTCTACGACATGGAGTACAAACCCAAGTACCTGGCGAACAAACGCGGCACCACGAGGCACAGGTTCTCCGGCAGGACGCGGAGGGCCGCGACAGCGCGCAAGGAACGCGTGTGGGACCACGGGGTGATCCCGTACGAGATCGACGGGAATTTTTCCGGCGCCCACAAGGCCCTGTTCAAGCAGGCCATGAGGCACTGGGAGAACTTCACTTGCGTTAAATTCGTGGAAAGGGTCACGGTGGAACATCCTAATTATATTCTCTTCACGGAGAGGCCTTGTGGGTGAGTTTGCTAACGCGTGTGGCTGTATCGAAAGTAGAGATCCGATTCGCGTGGAAGGTTCGTCGAATATTTCTCCTCTATTTTCTCATTTAATTCAACCTTCCGCGAAGTTTGGTCATACTCGCGTCACGGTGTTAACCCCATTCACTGCCACGCCGAAGTCACGTGTTTCGCACAGGACGCCACGGGAGTGCACCGCTAGATGCAAGATTCGTTCTGATATTTCTTTCATCGATGTTGTAATAAAAATTTGTAATAGTTCAATGGGGTACTTTTTATTTCAAAGTATCTTCTAATTAGCAGTTATATTCAAAATGCACTAACTGTTCATTTTCATTCAATTTTTACCATTGTAGTTTTACGAGTAGTTCAAGCGCTCCGCTGACCAATAACCACCGTGACGTCACAGGAGAACCGTGGCTGGTCGTATATGACCAACGTGGCAGTCGAAGTGTTAACCCTTTGCACTTGACGATGTTTTGCCAAGAGAAGAACAGAAATTCAAAGATTCCCTACTAAGAAACCGACGACACGTTTTGAGCAGTAAATAAAGAATGGTAGAATTATTTGATTTCGATACCTCGTACACTGTTGCGTTACATTAAATTTGATACATCAATTAATATCGATCTTCGAAATTTTACGAAATGGTGACTGAAGCTCGCCTCTCGAGTGCAAAGGGTTAAAAGTCTCTCCGAGTCTCCGTGATTCGAGCAGACCAAGTTTCTCTATACCTGTACGCGTCAAGTTTCTTTTCTTTCACTTGCGAAACAATTTCACAGATGTTGCTCGTTCGTCGGGAAAAGAGGGAACGGTCCGCAAGCGATAAGTATCGGGAAGAATTGCGACAAGTTTGGGATAGTGGTGCACGAGCTGGGCCATGTGGTTGGCTTCTGGCACGAGCATACCAGGCCCGACCGCGATCGTCACGTGCAAATCATCCGCGACAATATCATGTCTGGTAAGTGAAATAAAATGGAATTACCGTGACCAAGCCTACCCGTTTCGTGCCTAACGACAAGATTCCGTGGAGCCGGGATTCCATGATCGTTAAACGATTGCAAACGTGGCTCCGCGTGCGTCTCGTAGTCGTTACCGATCATGGATGTTTGGCGAACGTGAGAAGGATCTCGCGCGAAGACGTGGCCATCGGTATACGTGCCTAAAGCTCGATCCCGACGCAGCCGAAAATGGCGGCGGCGCGTTTGCCTTCGCGGCGAATGGGTGTATCCGTATTAGATTAATGGGCCAATTTGCCGACGGAGTGCGGGCAAATCTCACCAATCATTACCGATGACAACTAACCGGGGCCGGTATTCTAATATTTACACCCGGCGTGACAGTAGCTGGACTGGGGCGGTGATCGCATCCCGATTAATGGATACTAATAGCAGCGATAGTAACGAGCTGTTTAATTAGCGGGACCCAGTGCCATCTGTTTGCCTTGTGAAATTACACGTTGCGCCACGGGCCCGGGCTACGAAATGACGCGAAATTGCACGGAATCCCGTGGCCGGCCCGGTTACGGTTTCGTTAAGGCTGTCAGTCTCGGTCATCCGACGCCGATCGAATAACGCGGAATGGATCGTGCGTGGACAATCGCGGACAACGCGTGTACCGGAAACGCTTGACAATGGTGTACGCTGGAAATCGATCGGCTTTGTTTCTTCGACGTCGCGTAGGCTCGCACTACTCTGCGTACTAACGCGTAGTTGCGCGACCTGGAATTGCCTGTCGCGAGATCTCCATGCTGCGAACGTTTGTTTGTCGACTCGAGATGGTTAATTTGGATCGCTCGATCGAACGTCCTGCGAAAGTCCCGTCCGTACACGTGAACGTTGCACGTTTCGCGATAGTGCATCGAGCTAACTGGTATTGTTCACGGAATTTTAAACGATTCTCTGTCCAGGTCAAGAGTACAACTTCAATAAACTGACAGAGGAGGAAGTGAACTCTCTCGGCTTGCCGTACGACTACGACTCCATCATGCATTACGCGAAGAACACGTTCTCGAGGGGGACGTACCTGGACACGATACTGCCGATGGAGATCCACGGGAAGAAGCGACCAGAGATCGGTCAGAGACTGAGACTCAGCGAGGGTGACATCGCTCAGACGAACCTTCTTTACAAATGCTACAGTAAGTTGCCGAGAGTTATTCCAAGTTGCTCAACGCGTTAAACGCCAGGCCAGTTTTACGTGCCGTCCCGTTCACGTCACAGCTAGCCGTCATGCGGGCCCATCCGGGCCGTACGGACCGACGAGGCCCTGAACGGAAAGTCTAGCGCCAGTCCCTAGGAACCGGCGTGTGGCGTTTAACGCGTTAAACTTCCGTAACATCCGCGTAATGCGATATTTCGTAACGAGATACGCGTGCGATAGGAGACGCTGTTTGAAGCGTCTACCGGAAGTTCAACGGAAGCACTCCGCGACTGGGAAAAATTCTGTTTACCCGGTGTCAGCCCCTTCCGAACGGCGAATTTTGATTAACTTTTGCCCGAGTCGTTGAATCTTCTCGCGGAACTCGTCCGATTTACCGATTCCGGTCTTTTCGCAGAATGTGGCAGGACGTTTCAAGAGAACAGCGGAAGTTTCGCGTCGCCCGCTCATGCGAACGGTTCACCGCCACCGGAAGGCGAACGCTGCGAATGGAGGATCACGGCGACCCACGGCGAACGAATAGTTTTGAACATCACGTCGCTGGACATATTTAAGAGCAATTTTTGTCGCAGCGACTATCTGGAGATTAGAGACGGATACTGGCACAAAAGCAACGTGCTGGGTAAGTAAAACGGTTGATAACGAAGCCGGAAACTCGCTGGAAAATTTATTCTTATCCCCGGTCCGACTATATCGCGGCTATGTATCACGAATATTGCATTCGCTACGACCAAGGAGACTCCCGTTGGCCTTATTCTGACGTTTCCATAGGGAATTTCGGTTGGAGATATACGTAACCTACCTATAATGTTCTTTTCACGGTGATAATTAACGGCCGGGAAATGAGCCCGTTAAAACGCAGCGGGCAATAACCGGTTTTGTTCGAGAGAAAATTTTATAGAAGAGTTTAGTTCCTCGATGCTATGTAATTATTCCCGATTTACTACACGGTCAATACGAATATCGTATTTCGTTGGATTACTTCGTCGGATTTCGGATTTTAAGGCGAACTCGATGAACCGTGGAATTGTCATGAAAATTATCCACAGCGAAATTTCGTCCTTCAAAATTTACGCGATGCTTGGTTATTCGAATAATCGCTTGTAGCGAAACGAGCTCTCGTAACTTTCCCCGTTCTGCTTGTCGAAATATTCAACAACGTTCCCTATCGAGCTAATGAAGTATAAATACAAACCATCTCGATGATTTAAGCGATCGTTCATACGGCTAACGATTAAAAGCAATTTAATCGCGACGCAGGTCGATACTGCGGAAGCGGAAAGATCCACGAGCCGGTAGTCTCGACCGGAAGTAGAATGCTGGTTACTTACGTGACGTCGAGTCATCAGGGCGGGCACCGTGGCTTCATGGCCACCTACGAGGCCGTTTGCGGCGGCGAGATCGAGCTGGATGACACAGGCCACTTGGAATCGCCCAACTATCCGGAGGGCTATCAATCTAGCAAGGAATGCGTCTGGAAGCTGTCCGTGCCGCAGAACTTCCAAGTAGCGTTGAAGTTTCAATCGTTCGAGATCGAGAACCACGACAATTGCGTGTACGACTACGTGGAGGTGCGGGATGGTCATAACGCTGACTCGCCGTTGATTGGGGTTTACTGCGGTTACAAGATACCACCGGACATTAAGTCCACGGGCAACAAACTCCTCGTGAAGTTCGTGAGCGATGGGTCCGTGCAGAAGGCTGGATTCTCGGCCACGTTCATGAAAGGTATGTCCTCGCTTCGCGTTCGATCCAGGCCTCAATGGCCGTCGATTGGATTTCCTTCGTTCCTTTATCTTGTCCCAGCAACGCTCGCTGGAACGCCTTCGTGGTGGCAAATGCATCCTCGAAAAGTTTCAGCGAATAAAAGTCACTGTGGATGAGGAAGAATAGAGACTGACGAGGATTCTTTCCGTAGATTTAACGTCCCCGGTTCATTATCTTTTCCTTTTCCTTGTAGAATTCGACGAGTGCGTTCTGATCGAGCATGGCTGCGAACACAATTGCATTAATACCTTGGGTGGATTCGAATGTTCCTGCAAACCTGGCTACGAATTGCACTCCGATGGGAAACACTGCGAAGGTGAATTACGTAAAACGCTTGAAAATTCTTCTTCTTCCTTCTTTTAATTCCTCCCGGGATTATTCCATCGATGATAGATTAGAGTTTCCATTCGTGTCTGTCATATCTCTGTCAATTGACGCATATTTATGTCCGTCAGATGCCTGCGGCGGAGTGTTCGAGGACAGCAACGGAACCATCACGAGTCCCTCGTTTCCGGTAACTTATCCAGGAAACAAGGATTGCGTCTGGGAAATCATAGCTCCGCCTCAGTATCGCATCACGCTGAATTTCACGCATTTCGATCTGGAAGGAAACAATGCTCGTCAACAGGAATGCGAGTACGACTCTGTGGAAGTGAGCAGCAAACTTGGTGACGATATCCTGAGGAAACACGGCATTTTCTGTGGCACCAGGCTACCGTCGTTGATCACCTCCGAAGGCAACTCTCTGAGAGTGACTTTCACGTCTGACAACAGGTAACATAATCGCGCACTCATCTGTCACCAATTTACGAATAGAGTTTGCCAAGGGTATGCTTCGAAAGTTTTCCCACGATTTTCCAGTTTACAAATTCACGTTTCGTTTATCTCTCTTCGCCTTATCGATCATAGCATTCAGAAAACTGGTTTCGCCGCCGTTTTCTTCACGGACATGGACGAATGTGCCAACAACAACGGAGGCTGTCAACACGAGTGCAGGAACACAATAGGATCTTACCAATGCTCTTGTCACAACGGTTTCACGCTTCACGAAAATGGACACGACTGCAAAGAGGGCGGCTGCAAGTACGAAATCGCTGCACCTATGGGCACTATAACGTCGCCCAACTATCCTGACCATTATCCCGGGCTCAAGGATTGCGTCTGGCACTTTGTTACCAAGCCAGGCCATCGTATCAAATTAGTTAGTGTCCAGGAACACTGTGTTATCATTTTCTTATACTTATCGGGTGTCTTGCGAGAATTTCTACTTTCACGATGCTTAACTCACGAGTAGCACAATTTTTTCCTTTTGCTCGTATCGATTAACACGTTCGGATAGAGAGAGGGCGCCAAAAGAATTTGAACTGGAGCTCTGTATAATTCAGTGATCTCGATGTAATCTCGAATGGGTGCAAATAATCATGAATTGTGATATCACGAATGAGAAATTTAAAATCTTTAAGACTACGAAAACTCTCGTGATCGCCCAATGTTGAAGAGGATCGTTTAAATTTGGAAATTCGCGAATTTAACTGGATCGTAAAATCTTGCAGGTTTTCAAGGTTTTCGAGATGGAGTCCCATCAAGAATGCAATTACGATCACATCGCCATCTACGACGGTGATTCTCCCGACAGTCACGTTCTCGGGAAATTCTGCGGTACCAAAGAGCCGCATCCGATCTTGGCAACCGGAAATCAAATGTACATGGTATTTAAGAGCGACGCTTCCGTCCAGAGGAAAGGTTTCCTTGCTACTCACAGCACTGGTAAGGTCATTACCATATGCTGATGGGTTTAAACGAAGTAATTGCACGAACATCGTCGTTAAGATAATGGCTTACTTCTGCAAAATTTATACCACAGTTCCAACTCTGCCTCTCGAAACACGAACTCTTCCGTGCCGCGTGCCATTTTTCCTAAAATCTCGTTCGACCATCAGAATCGCACGAGAATTATCGGCTTGTCCCAGAAAGCGCAATGCAGCTTTATTTCCAGTATTTAAACCATCTATCGCAAGGAAGCATCTACCATTGATACGTGAGGAAAGTAAGAAAGGTTTTACGTCGCGTTACCATTCTTTCCTTTAAACATAACGATTCGAATTTAACGATTTCCAAGCTGGCTGCGTCTGGGACACCGGATCCTCATTGGTACCTCTTGCCATGTCCACGCGTTACCATTCCTTCCTACAAATTCCACGAATCAGAATTTCCAAATATTTCATCCGTCTTTCCCTCTGTGGTGTCTGCTAACTTCTGAAACGGCGCACATTTCGCGAACAATTTCGCTTACCTAATCTCGTTGTGCAGCTTGCGGCGGCCACCTGACCGCGACGAACGAGGTGAAGCATTTGTTCTCGCACGCGAAGTACGGGGTCCATAATTACGACCACAAAACCGACTGCGACTGGGCGATCGAGGCACCTCCGGGCAAAAATGTCCATCTGACATTTGTCACGTTCCAACTGGAATTAGAAAGCGACTGTAATTACGACTTCGTCGAGGTTTACTCCGGCCTGGACACGTCTGGCCTTCTGTACGGGCGATACTGCGGAAATAGCGTAAGTTTACCTGATTACGACCACGCCGTAATGCCATTGAACAATATTTCTGCATCTTTCACTTTCGGCTACATCGGATCCATGCGATCTTTCACTCGCTTTTGCTGAAAAGGAGAGAAAAACGGTGAGTCCAGGTTTAATAAGAGACTCTCGTTACGTTTCAGAACACCACCGACTTCATATCGATAAACGAGGCGTTGCTGGTGAGGTTCAGAACCGACGACACGATATCGAACAAAGGTTTCATGGCGTTCTTCGTGGCGGTTGACCGGCAGGACAGCGGGGAGAATTACGGAGGTTCGGAGGACGAAGACGCGGACGAGGAGAACCTCTGATCCGTGACAGGCCTCGCCAATCGACTGGGCTACGGATTCCACATCGGCTCGCTGCTACAGAACAGCGATCAAGGCGAGGACGAGTAAAACAGAGTCTAATTACTCGCACGCGAAACGTTTCGAACGTTTGAATATGGAATGTACGTAGCCCTAGGCAAACGTGAATCTTGCTCGATCGTCGAGGCCGTGATGCTTGCTCTTGTCTCGAACCGCGGATTCGAGCAAGGCGAATCAATATCGAACGATTACGTCGATCTTTGGACTTGCAGATTTGTATTCGACGATTAACGAAAGGGGAAAACGAAGCAGACGTGTTCCCCGAGTTAGTCCGAGTGTCTCGCGTCAAGGATAATTTATTCCGTCAGCGATGGCGTTAGTTCACGGCTTAACCATTTGGATTAGCTTGTACGACCCTGAAATTCGGCCTAGAGTCAGGCCAATCGTGCCATTGTATGTTTAGGTAGATCGCATTATACTGTTAACTAATATGAATTTCACACCCAGTGAGAAACGGCAGGTTTCGGAACAAAGGCGTACAACACACACGGTGTTGCCAAAGTGATTTTCTAATATTTAATCGAACAGTATCTCATCGGTGTACGGAATTATTCTAAGTAATCGATACCAATACGATAAGAAGGCATAAGAAAAACGAAGAAATAGTCGACGATGGACGAAAACTTTCCTCCCAATCGTCTGATTCTTTCCAATCTCTTTCGTCTCAGTTCTCTTCACGCTAACCCTCCCTCTTTTTTCTCTCTTCATTTTTCTCCCTTTTTTTTTCCCTTTCTTTCACCACTTTCGCGAAAGTGCCACGCTCGTGGCATATTTCCAAGCGTTTCGTTAAAACGTACGCGGGTAAACGGTTCTAATGTCGCCACGCGAGGACGTGGAACGAAAACGAGCGTGTTTCGAGTCGAACGAAAAGGAAATTACGACGAGGAGCTTTTCGTTCGGACCTGTTCGATGGAAATCTTCCAAACGACAACTCGTGCAAATACTTGGAATAATCTAGATGTAAATTTAGATATAGCGCTGATCGATCCTGAAATGTCAGCGATAGAAATCTTAACGGCGGGCCTCGGGCGACCGGTTTCGATCGGGAACCGTTCAACGTTTACGCGAGGATCTCGCCGAGCGTTTATTGTACATAGATAAAAGATTAGATGTAGACGTCGTGCCGTTTTATATCATAGTCATAGGATCGACGACGAAAAATGAAATGTCTCGCTAATCGTGTGAATTCGTGGATTTCTTATGATCCTCGGCTCTGTACTTTTTCGTCCGTGTTCCAGAACGAGTCTGTTCCACGTACCCCCGGTAGCCACGGAATAGAGGATCGTTGCAACGATACCGATTGACGGATTCATAGGCATACGTTGAATTAACGAACTGGACAATAGCATCCGATACGAAGATCATTGGTAAACCGTGAAAGTACAGCTAGAGCAAACTAGAGATCTTTAATAATTTCATCGTAGATCGTCCGATTATTGGAGTCGCGATTCGAGTATTGGAAACTTTGTAACAAACATGCAGCTAAACGTATGAGAGAACGTGTTAAGTTTAAGGTCGGGGACGTATCCTATCGAATTCATCGAAGTACTCGTGTTTCTGACTAAACGAAGCGTTATCCTTTGCACACTGTATATTGTTTAAGGAAAAACGAGCAAAAGATTATATCCCTAACGGCCAAGGAAGGAAATGTTATTCGAGTGACAATACTTTTTCAATTTCCAAATTTTCCCGCAATTTTTCTGCGTGACTCACTGCCCGGTGTAGAATTTTCGCGATGGTGCACAGGGACTCAAAGGGGAAACAGATATGTTCTCGGCTCGGTGTTCTTTTCAATTGCATCGTACAATGAATACTGCCTACATGGATCGAAAGAAAATACACTTTTACGTAAACACGAGCGAAATAATATGCGATTGTGCTTGGGATTTCTTCTTGCGAGTGTACAGGTTTTACGAGCGAGTACGCGCATAATGTTGATCCTTCGGGATGAAAGGAAACAAAAGAAAAATTCGTATGCCTAAAACACACGTATAGATAATAATACCTTATCTATTATCTGACGATAAGAGCAATATTAAGCGCCGCGTCAAGTTCCTTTTTGTAAATTATATGTGATTTATTTGTTCTCAGAAATACACGTTATAGGCACTCTATATATTACTAAGCAAGTATATACAACTGATATAAGCGTTTCTTCTATTCAAACGTGTTCCTCTACCTACACATTCGGGTTCCCTTCATCCTTGTATCACGCATCTCTATCCTTGCTATTACCTCGTAGTTTTTAATATTGCTATCGTATTTATTTCCCGATGAGTCAGGAAATAAGAAAAGAAACTGTCGCATAAATCATTGTAAGCAAAAACCGATTCACGTGTGATCGATCGTAGATGATGGCCATTTACGGCGTAATTCGTTCCAGCCTCGTAATAAATGAAGCGATGTTTGGAATTGTAAACCAGTTGTCGATTTAATGTGATGTTAGATTGACTGTTATTAAATGTCGTAAGTTCAGCACCAGTCATTGATAAATATAGCAACTCCGGTCATTGATGGAGCAATGATAAATATCAACAGAATATCAGGTAAGTGTCGAATGGTTCTCTGTTGAATATACGTAAAATGAAACGGAATTCAGTCTTGTCCTAGATTTCGAAAAATTAAAAGAAGAAAAGGCAATCTTCAAAAATTGTCGATCGATTATTCGCATTTGCATGAATAAAAATTAAGTATAAAGTACAAAGCCTTGAGACGCTGATCCAACTATATTTGGAGAACAAGATCGCTACAGATGCAAGGACAATGAGCGCGTGGTCGATCTGTTACATCATTCAACACGGTTGTATCGGTATCGATTATGTTAATATCAAAGATCAGTTTCCAAGATTGTACGCAAGAATAATATTACTATAAAAGAGAATCGCTTTGTAAGATGTTAGATAAAATTAAAGCAAATTTACGAATAAATGGATGAGCAACTCGAACACTTATTATTATTCGTTAAATAGAAGACGAATGCGGTAAAAAATTGCGATGATCGCGATAACAAAAGTTACGTACTGTTGCTTCAAATTTCACTGTTCCTGCCGGTATTATACCATCTGATATATTCAAGAAACGCATGCTTTCTAATCCTTGTCATCCTTATCGCGAATCAGCAACACGAAATTCCATTCAAAGAAATGAAGTTGAATCAAACATCCTGGTCACACGACTAACATTTTCCTATTAACATTGCAATGCGTTTGGAATAAAAATAACGGTAGAACCAAACAGTACAGACTACGTATAAAAAGATAAGATTTTTAAGAATAACAAAACTAAAATCTAGTCTAACAACTTTCTAGTCTGTTGAATAAACAAACTTGGCATACTATTAAACGTGTAACTAAAACTATTATACATTCATAGATTGATCATGTGTCCTACTTAAAACGTCATTCTAGCCATAAAGTCGAATACGATTATTTCTTCTGTTCAAGACAGTAGCGGTGATAAAATGATTCTAGAGCTCCCTCTAAGGACTACGCAATTGTTTCGCGTGCACATCATACAGATGAGTTGGCCCCAGTGGCAATAGTCCCTGCCCCACCCTGCAAGTCCTCCAGAGGATAGGATCGTCGCGATTTACCGCTTTCCTTAGGCCAGGTCCAACCGTCTGTGACCAATTTTAGAAAAAGTGAGCGGTCGGGCGACACAAGCGCTCTCTCACGGCGACTCTCATCCTTCCTTAGCACCTCCGCGTGTGAAAAAACATATATATATATACATATACATATAAAGATGTATAATCCAAGAGACGCGAGAAAGAGGTTACGATAATCGATACGGTACTAACGAATATTTTGCTACCTTGTTCTGCAAATTTTTGGCAATGTAGATGGCAATGTAGATTCTCACGAAGCTATCGATTCGTTCCCAGAAATGAGTAAAACGGCAGGGTAAATGGCCACTTACGCAACTATCGAGTGATCAATATCTCATTTCTCTTCAATGTATAGACTGAAAGAAAAGAAAAGAAAAATTCGTGAATAAAAAATTATTCGTTTATCTGCACATTAGATAATCGATAACAAGCTCGTTTCGATAATATTTTGGAAAATATTATTCATGGATGATACAGCAGTGATAATTTTATTTTTACAATTTTCTCCATCGATAAGTGAGTTTTTTGAGAACAGAAATATTCTCATTTGGTTGTGATTTGGTAATTTTCTTACAATTTTACATGCAGATAATTTCCGAATAGAAATTCTGCGACGCAATGTCTATTCTTAACCAATGGACAAGTTCAACGCCCATATCCAACCGCAGTAGTTTTGCAACTAAGAATAAATGTCGCGTTGTTTTGCATTACTCTCGCCGAGTGTTTTTCAAGCGCGAGATATTGTAAATGCAAAGTCGAAATTGAAACCGGAATTGAAAATCGAAAATGGTATACAGGAGTCACATTTATTTTGTTCCGTAAAATAGTGAATATCGTTTCGGTTTATAACAAGGAAAATAAATTGTCGTTTTTGTGCTAGAAGAGTAATATAGGTTTTAGTTTGCACAGCAACTTTCTCTCGTGCATCTTCTCACACGTGCAACGTGAAATTCTGATAACGATCTCTCCGTGACATACTACGATCGAGAAAATCGGTTTGCGAGGGTATAATAAAAATTGCGACGTATAGCAAAAATTGCTCGACGACTAACCTCTATGGAAAGTAGTCCGCGACAAAGATACTAAATGCGATGGCAATGACGCGTGAAAAATTTTGTAAAAGGCATTATATACTGACTAGCATTTACCAAAGATTTGATTTCGTAATGAAATCTTCGAAATAATTTGATATTTAGTATTTCGAAATATAATAATTAATGTTAGAATTACATAAATTGCAGTTACAGCCACATCGTATAATATTTAACACACTAATTCAATATGGTGTGTTACTCACATATATGTCACACTTTTTGTTAACGAGAGCGAAATTACATTATGCATACGTACATACGTGTAATGAACGAGGAGGATGTGCAGATTCTTAATAATAGCACAACCTAGTTCCTAACCAACCAGCTTAACGTGGAATTATCATTCTCAAAAAGCAATTCAGATATAATCCGGCTTAGTTCAATAAATTTGTTAAAATGCTAAGAAATAATCGTTAAAATATTTTTACTTCGCCTTTGATTCTCACGAATTCCAGATTCACGTAAAATTCGTATTAATGTTATATTCTTGCGAACATGTCATTTATAAACATAGCACTGCGAATCAATCGTTATCTAGTCAATGAACAGGTCATTACATACCAATTTTCTTGCTACGCCTGTCGAAATTTGTAAAATCAATAAAATAAATGTCGCATGACAAGAGGCTAGGTACTATATTTCGCGAGTAGAAAACATGCGTGAAGGCGTTGTGGCGTTCTGCGGTCTCCTGCTAACCAATCAGAGATGAGGCTGAAGTCACCAGCAACCAATCGTTGTGCGCCAAAAGAGTCGATAGTCTGGGGTATAAGATCCCGTTGCAACCGTCCCTCGCGCATTAATCGTTGGGTGTTCGACCGAGACTTGTGTGTGGTTGATAGCGGAAGCTCCATTACTTGCTCTAACTATCGACTATTCACTTTCTACAAGAGTATCAAATATACCCTAAGACTTCAAAATGGTAAGTAAATATTTTCGGAAAGTTTTACTCGCGAAAAAATTTCAATTAAGTTGGCGGTGTGTTATTGGTGGAAGGTGATTTGGTGTGACGCTTGTACCGGCCGGCTCCGCCCTTTCCGTTGACTCATATTTAACCATTAGATACAGTTAAAATACTTGAATTATTCATGCCTTGTATAATAGTTATATTTGCATCTTTCTAACATTGGTTTTAGTACATATAATATACATAGATAGATATATGAAAGTGAAAATTAAAATTTCGTCGTTTCGTCGTTTTGTCGTTTCGTCGTTTTCGTCGTCTGTCAAATGGCGGGGGAAATGCGCCGCGTCGTTTTTGGCGATTGGATCGATATTTGATGACTGACCCGTATCAAATATGTTTTATTGAGAAGCTGTTTTAAATATCATTAAAACTAAATATGATGTGTTACGTGTTTTGAAAAGAATAGTTTTAGTCATAAAATTCTTTTTTTAATATATACTAACAATAAAAAGATATTCTGTGCACTTTCCTAAATGAAGATTGTAATTTATTATGTTCATTTTTTCAGCGTGAATGTATCTCAATCCACGTTGGCCAGGCTGGAGTCCAGATTGGCAATGCTTGCTGGGAATTATATTGCCTGGAACATGGCATTCAACCTGATGGTCAGATGCCATCAGACAAAACCATTGGAGGAGGTGATGACAGTTTCAACACTTTCTTTAGTGAAACAGGTGCTGGAAAACACGTTCCCAGAGCTGTTTTCATTGACTTAGAGCCTACAGTAGTCGGTATGTAATTATTATAGTACATGTTAATGATTTGCATATTTTATGAATAAGTTTAATCAAACTTTTTATTTCATTTTTTTTTTTTCTTTTTTTTTTTTTTTT